ATACTAAATTGGGGATTGTGTGAAGGAATAGATTTCGAACCCCGGAATTTGGTATGAGAAACAAGATGTAAGAATCAAATAGTATATTTAAACAGATTTTAGGCAGAAAGCTGTAAGATGAGTCGGATAAAACCTCAGACTATTAGGCGAGATGTTGCACATCCGACATATGGTTCACCGGATTTATATGACGTCCCAGTCACAGGCCAGCAGACCACAAAGCGGCTACTAATTAAGAGCTCTGTATGACCTAAATCAAATGTTTCTCTTACATAAAGAAAGATCCTACAAAAAACCTAATTTCGAAACAAAAGTTCCTACTTTGCCCGGGGTTCATTTTCCGACCAGAGTTCATTGTCTCGATGTAACCGACAATTAAATCATTGGGATGTGTTCCACTGTGTCGGTTCGCAATTCATTTCATCGGCGACAGCAATAAACCTGAATGGACAGCAATAACATGAAATCATTTCATTTCGAGTACATCCTTCTCATCAGAATTGATTACTATCCTGGGTGTGACTGCTGCTGCATCCTTGCTTGGGTATAATACGGATAACGCCTTTTCCCACTCCCCCATTTCCCAACCCATATCACGTCCATAACATTCAGTCATTCATTCATTCGTCCATTCACTAAGGAGATTTCCGGATTGTTTTGCATTGACAACAAGACCACAAGACGACGATGCATTGATGCATTTCGGAAGGTATTATTTGTCTATCGTTTTTTTCTGTGGACATTGGTCAGACGAAGTTGTGACAACCCTTTGGAAACTTTGAAAACAGCTATGCCATCCATGTAAATGACAAAATATTGTGATCTTACTAGGGACATATGTGGCGGTGACATGCAAAGAAGGTATCTGCTAGATAATTAAACCACCCGGAGAGAAACCATACTAAAATTTGCAAACAAACATCTATTTGGCCTAATATTGACAGGCAATTGAATTCAAAATTCAATCATAGCTATTAGGGTCGTAGTCATGCCTTAAAACGAATTGTTAAGATATCTCCAATTAGACGAAACATTGACATGAAATGAGTTATGATTTATTTTAGCAATTTAAAATACATATTCTTCAGATTGAATGGTTAAAAGAACTATAAGGTCGTTATCGGAGGTTTAAGGACTGGTTTTAAAATAATGATTGTAGTGATGTGTTTTGGAAAGTGATATTTTTGTCTTTTTATACTCTCCACCTTGTAACACCCCTAAATATTTGTCGAAGCATAAAATTCTAAGTCGATTTGACGTTGGCCGTCTGTTGAAATTACTATACAGCCGACGTTATTTGACGTAGAGCGTCAAAATTTAGCAGAACGATTTGTATTGTGTCTAGGACGGTTGGTATTGAAAATGAGATATATCGGTCCTCGTTTTGATATTGTCCCCATATAACGGTACCCCCCGATATTCGGTATTTTGAGATTTCGTTCTTTACCATAGACACCAACAGTGACATCTATATCAAATTTCAGGATTTCGCTTCTATCCCGTCACCCAATGCCCAATTTAGTACCACTAACGAAAAGTATTTCCGCACAATTAAAGTACACATTTCCAAAACCACTCCTATATATCAATTCCTAATACCAACAGACCTCTCAATATCAAACTTGAGGATTCCACACTGTCCCTCCACCCAGTTCTAAATTTAGTACTTTTCGAACAAATATACTATGCATATCCAAGCCACCGCCAAATCTCAAACACAGATATTATCAGTAATTTGTAATCTAAATATCAAACTTCAGAATTTTATCTCTATCTCTATCCCTTTACCCAAAACCCAACATAGCCCCATTCAGTACTTTTGTACACTTTTAGTACACATTTTCAAAACCATCCAATCAACCACCCATCCAACCAAATACAGTACAATTTGGTACTTATAGTACACATTCCACCGCTATATCACAATCCTACCACCAACGGTACCATTTAGTAAAGTTCGAACACTTAGTACACATTTCCAAAACCATACAAAATTTCAAGTTTTCAGCCCTATCCGTTCACATAATACGAAATGGTTCCATTTTAGAAGTTAAGTACAATTTTAGAACTTTTCGAAACATCGAAGTTTGAATTTTCAAAAACCCATTGATTTATCTATAATTTACTCCAGTGTCTCATTCCTAGCTCATTCCGTTTGTCCAATACAAAGTATTTAATATTTAGTCCATTTTAGTACTTTTCGTAGCCAAAAACTTAGCCGCACCAATACCGACCCTCATGCTAAATTTTAAGATTGTAGCTTCGGCCGTTTCGTCAGGGTGTTTTTTCTCAGTCTGTCAGTTATTTCACTACTACGTAATATGTGAAGACGATGTCCAATTTTCAAACCTTACAAATTCTAATATTTTGGCCCATGTTAGAGAAAATCGAGTAAGCGCTACACCCTTCGTGGGAGTTCCACTTAAAGTTCAAAATATCAAAATCGCGAGAAGATAGATTAGATGAAGCATATTTCAGGAACGATATTAGACTATGTTGTTATATTCAGTCCTGTAAAGTTTATAATTGTAAACAACACCCAATTTTCTTCAAATTTTTTAAATCCCAAAATTTTTTGTCGATATTGGAACAAGTTGAAAAATAGAATATTAACTTTCCCACTAAAATTTAAAAATTTTGAAGAGAAAAATAATATATTTTTTTCATATAAAACAAATCGAGTACCTGTCCAAACTTTTGCCTTCCCCAAAGGCTTACAATTTAGAATAATCGCAACTCTCTAAATATGTGCACAAGTCAAGGATTTGGCTTAAATTATGCGAATGCCAAAATTCCTTTCGAACACAGGCAAAGTGCGGAAAAAGGATACCTTGGTTTACTTCATCTTATATCTCCCCAAACGGTGATTTTTTTTTAAATTCTGAAAACCTTTGAGGCGAACGTAATATTCCGACACAACAATATTTTTTATCAAGGCGGTAAATGGAAAACACAGACCAATTTCTTTAGCTTTCCCCTACAAAAGGCCATTATAATGATATTTCTTCGGTACCGTGCTAATGTATTCCATATGAAATTTTTGACATTTTGAGAAATGTATGAGTTCTCATTTTTGTCGGTATGCTCTTTTTGTACAACTTTTCGAGATGTCCACTTTCTGTTTTCCCTACTTCATCCATCAATTAGTATACGATAAAAAGTCGACAAATACGTTGAGAAGAGTATTAAAATTATTTTTAGAATCTATTTTTCCACCTTTTTTGTTTTGTCCGCTGATTGCATTCTGATTCTACTCTACGGTTATGAAAGGTAAGGGCTCTTCTAACTCTTACAATTTACACCAAAAAGACATGGTATTCTATTATTTTTTTGCTTCGACATTTTTCGACGTTGAATTTTGTAGTAGGACACGTGCATTCTGTGCTGAAGTTACTCATTACTATGTTATTGCTTTGTAACTTAGTGGGGCCCATTTTTTCGACAAACCAACTGATACTTATTATAACCTCAGCCATATGGCTAGGGAGGGTATATATAATTTGATACGGCCAAATGTGACTTATCGAAATAATGGTTTTTGATCCTAGGTCTCTTTGGACCAAATCCGTTTCAGGAAATTTGGAGTGGATCTAGCGATGTCCGTCTGTCTGGCTGGTGTGGACGATAACGAAGGGAGTATACGATTTGATCCAAACTTGGTGCATCTTAATATTATTATCAAATTTATATCGAGTTCGGAAATGGGCAATATCGGTCCACCTCCCCTACAAAATTTAAACATTTTCAAATTAAATAATTTTCTGCATAAAAAGAGAAAGAATAATCCGATTTTGCTCCAACTTTGCAAATCCTAATATTAGCATCAGTACTAGGTCAGGTGCGACATTGGACAATATCGATCCACTCCATCAAGTACCTTTCACACCAAGGGTTAAAATTTGGATTAATTATAACTCTTCTAAAATGTGATGTAAATACCGATTGTCTTCAAATCACACACATCAAAATATTTTTATCAACTCTAGGTCTGGTGCGAAGATGCAACTCCCTCTGGTATCTCCCCACAAAGGTCCAAATTTTGAATATTCAAGAGGCTCATAAAACGCGAAATTAACATTCGATTCCATTCGGACTTGGCACATTCCAATATTTTCACCAACATAAGATCTTTAATAAAAACGGTAGAGATCGTACGATTCCTTCTCTTGCCTCCCCCACAAAGGGGTTGGTTTTAAATAACCAAAACGATTATAAAACCCGAAATAATCATCCGATTCTCTTCATATTTCACACATCACAATATTTTTATTAACCCAAGGTCTGGTGTGAAGATGGGATATATCGGTCTACTCTTTGTGGTACCTCCCCCACAAGGGTTCAAGATTTTGAATATTCATGAAGTTCATAAAACACGAAATTAATATCCGATTCTATTCAGACCTGGCACGTCTCAGTATTTCTATCAACACAATATCTGTTATAAAGATGGTAGAGATTCGACCATTCCTTCTGCTGGTACCTCACCCAGAAAGGGTCACAATTTCCAATATTTATATCTGTTATAACTTGCGAATAAATATTTCTTTCAACCAGAAATCTGGGATGTATTTGGAATTTATGATTTCGCATAAAATTGGATATAAATGTTCCCATACCAATATTTTTATCTGTACTAGATGAAGTGTGAAAATGGAATACTTCAGTCTACTTTATCTGGTACCTCACGCACCTTTCAATATTTTCTAAAAATTATCACATATCTTATATAAAATGAAGGAAGTTGTCGATATAGTCCAAACCTGGCACGTCGCAATATTTATATCATATTTATTTAGGTCTGATACGAAATGGACAATACTAACCCATTCCTACGAAACCTACCCCGTAGAGGGTCAACAATTTCAATAATCATAACATATTGCCTGAGAGAATACATCTGTCGGCAAAATCGACTGATACTTTTTAACTTTCTTCAAAACAAATTTAATTGCAATGCCATTCATATAAAAATAATTATTTTTATGTTTCTCTATTTCCAGATAACAACATTTCATCGAAATTCTTAAGTGCATCCTTTTTTTTGCAAAAAAGCACATATTCTCCGTCGACATTTACCTTTTGCACAACCCATAATAAATGTCCAATTAAAATACCTATTTCCGCAGCTGAAACAAGTCCTTCCTCTCAGATAATAAAACGGAAGAGTATAAAAAAAAAAAACAAATTAAATCGCATTTGAAAACGTTTGGTCGTCGGATTCACATTGTTTCGAACAAAATGTGGCAATGGCCCTAATGCCAACAACAACAGCAGCAGCAACGACGACAAGGACTATTAAGGACCTTAGTATCGGTCTAAGCTCGGGTTGTCATGGCCGTGTTCTTGTGTGTGGCAATGCCACATTAAGTCCCTGTAATTCCCATCAATGTTATGATGCCAAACAAAATGGAAGCGAGGCAAAAAACGATTAGCCAGAGTGTTGAGTATATAAAAATTTGGAAACATATCAAATGGCGGCCAAGGATCAACAGTCAGTGTTGACCATCTAAAGTCGGAACAAATAGAGAAAAAAAAAAAAAAAACAAAAACTTCAAACGAACGAACAATTTTTTATGGCATTTTTTTTGTTAATTGTGAACTGTGTGAATTAAGCCGACATAGGCAACAAAAATTGACTAAGTGATAACCTTTTTATTTTGGGTGTAATAATTTATGCGATTCAATGAAATGTTTTATTGTGTGCATGTATGTGTTTATTAGTTTAAATAATTAACAGCAAAGTTTTGTATAATCCCACGTACTTATCTGTTAGAGCCTCTAGAGAGAAAGAGAGAGAGAGAGAGCGCGAGCTAGAGGTAGTAATTTTACTTTACTTTTAAAATACTTGACAACGATTTCTGTAGTGCCATAAATTCGCTTACCTTTAAGCCAAACACAAAAGAGTAGATTTCTTCATACCACCGATTTCCAGTTTCTCTCGCAACCAAGACAACATCACATCACAGCACATCTCCATTTCAATGACAATATCCTTGCCAAGGAACACAATCGAATTGAATATCAGCGGAGACGTAAAGCAGCGGCAAGCTTACAAAATACTGCCACAAAACATGGCTATGAGAGCAGCCAATAATGAGGATATGTTGGTGCCGGCCAATGGCCGAGTGGGTGATAATGATAGTCCACGGCTAAATGCAACGACTTTGCTGACCAGCCGCTTTAAAAAGAACAAACATCAAAAGTGGTTGCCAACAACCGGCAAAACTACTAAAGCTGCTGCTGCAGCAGCAGCGAATATTGCCACTGAGGATGGCAATGACAAGCAATGGTTAGCTATGACAAGGGAAATATCACCATTAGCATGTTCATCAACGACCACAACTGGAGTTTCAGCAGCAATGATGGCTTCATCAAATCGCGGTGGTGGTGGTGGCGATGGTGTCATTCGAAACATGAAATCAGAACAACGCCAAATGCAGCAGCAACAACATGACAGTGAAGGGAGAAATGAATGCCGTAACAACAATGCGACATGGCTCCACAACAGCAACACCAACACCAGCAGCAGTAGCGGCCATAATCGCCAAACTAATAATTTTAATAATGGCACTGGAGCCAGTAGGCCGGGCCTTGTACAAAACGCACAAAGTTCGCAACAGCAACAACAACACCATCCAAACTATAACAACAACAGCGGCACTGCTAGTCCAAACGGCGTGACTCCAATATTCCATAGTCACAATTATTCGGACAACGATTCTGGCCTAACCACCGACTCCTCACCCACAACCTCATTTGCCGGCGACACAGAACCCCTGCTCTATACAAGAGCATCCGGCACATCGTCGGCCGCCTCATTGTTGAGACAAACACCCCAGCATGGCAGCCAAGGGGCCACACAACCATTGTTAACGTCAACATCATCGGCTGAATATCTGCTGCCGTCCGGCGCCTCCAATAATGAACGCCTTGATACGCTCAACAATGGTCATGTTCCAGCGCCAGGCTCGTACTCCACAAATAAATATCATCACCACCACCACCAGCAGCATCATAATAACAAACACCCGCAATTCAACTCTTCCGCATCGCCTTCGTCGGTGGCGTCGGGAATGGCGCCCAAATCGTACTGCAATTGCTGCAGTAATTTAATTGCCCGTTGCTGTTTCGGTTTACCGCATCTTAAAGCCATCAATGTGCGACGCTGTGTCCTGGCCCTGTTCGCCATCACCGTGGTGACAATATTCTACTATACGCACTACATGGATTCCGGTGTATTTGTGGGGTAAGTCCGACCACATGTCATGATGCATCTCTTCCTACATTTTTATGCGCTATGTCTGATTTACATTTAAACTGGCTTACAGCTCTCGACTTTCGTGGTTTCGGTGGGTTGGACGGTTGGGTGAGTCTCTTTGTGCAATATTTCGGGTAGGCTAATTTATTGTTTGTCAGAGCCCACAGTCGTCCCCGTTCTCCCTGCAATCGGCCGGATGGTTGGTCCTCATTCCGTTTTGATTTCAATTTTAGTTGTTCCTCTTAGCCTGCAGTGAGTCTGTGGTTTCGAGCTGGGCTAGTTGCATGTTAAATCCCTATTTATTATGATATCAAGGTAGCTTTTTCGGAGGGGCGCTCAATTAAATCGTTGAAAGGAAATTACACAGCGATTTAACTTTTGCATGGAGGGAAGGGTATTAAATATTATAGTAAATTTAAATGGCTTATTGTCTTATTATCGATTAATGATACGCAGAGTTCTGAATTCCAAACAAAAACTAAACACCTTATGTTTCCATATAGACCCTACAGTACTTACAGATACTAATTATTATAATGTATTTTTATTAAACAAGTTTGAAAGTATCAGTCGGTTTTTGCCGACGGATGTACACCCTTTTTGAGGAGGTATCAGAGGGAGTGGGCAGAAAAATTCATTCACATCAGATCTCTTAATTATTTAAAATTGTGATCGTTTGTGGGTAAGGTTATGTCTACCTTACCCACCCTTGAGATGTATCAAGTTTGAAAAGAATTGGGCTCCTATTTTGCATTTTTAGGGCGTTTTGTTATTAAAAATTTGATCCCTCTGTAGGGAGGTACCAGAAGGAGTAGATCGATATATCTCATTTTCACAACAGATATTGTGTTACTAGAAATAAATGGATGATTTTAAGGGTGTCGGGTGCTTATTTGATATGTTATGAGAGATATAATTATTCAAAATTTTGAACTGTTGTGATGGAGGTACCAAAAAGGTGTGGTCTGATATCTACCATCTTTATAACATATATTGTGTTAATGGGAATATTGAGATGTACCAAGTTCAAATGGAATCGGTTGTTAATTTCGCGTTTTATATGCTTCATGGATGTTCAAAATTTGGACCATTTGGGGGGAGGTATCAGAAGAAGTAGACCGATGTATCCCATCTTCACAACCGATTTTATCTTGGTAAAAATAATGGGATATGTGAAATGTGAAGAGAACCGGATGCTTATTTCGGATTTAATAATCGTTTTTGTTATTCACAAATTTGACAATTTGTGAGGGAGGTACCAGAAGGAATTGTTCGATCTTTACCTCCTTTAAAACATATCCCGTGTTGTTAGAAATATTTAGAAGTGGCAAATCTGAATGGAATCCGATTTCAATTTTGCGTTTTATGAGCTTCAATATATATTCAAAATTTTGACCATTAGTGGGGAGGTACTTGATGGAGTGGACGTAATATTCCATTTTCGTACCTGACGTAGCATTTTCATTGAAATATTAGGATTTGCAAAGTTGGTACAAAATCGGATTATACCGAACTCGATCTAAGTTTGATAATAAAGTTACGATGTACCAAGTTTGGACCAAATCGGATAGTCTCTTCGAGAGTTATCGTGCGCACCAGCCAGACAGACAGACGGACATCGCTAGATCAACTCCAAATGACCTGAAACGGATTTGGTCCAAAGTAACCTATGGTCTAAAATCGTTATTTCGATGAGGAATGTTTTGGTCGTATCAAATGATATGTACCCTCTCTAGCCATATGGCTGAGGGTATAATAATGGGATTTGCAAAATTTAAAGAAAATCGACCATTTATTTACAATTCCAGTGGAATAATTGTTAGTCAATAGTTAAACAAGAAGAAGTAGACCGAAATATCTATTAGATGTATGGTTAACAGAAATATTGAGATGCACGAAGTTTGATGAAAATCGCTGACTTCTTCCGCGTGTATGAGGGTTATGATTATAAAAAGTGTTGACCCATTGTGAGGGAGGTACGAGAAGGAATGGGCCGATAAATTCCATATTTACATCTGATATCCGGTTGAGAAAAATATTTACATAAACCAAGTTCGAAATAAAGCGCAGACTTGTTTCGAAATAATTCAAAATTTTGACCCTTTGGGAAAGGTACCAGTAGATCTATATGTCCCTTCTTCACGCCAGATTGTGTGTTAATAAAAAAATCAAAATTAAGACCCTTTTTGGGGGAAGTACTTTGGAGGAGTGTATCGACATAATCAATTTTTGCACCTGCCCTAGCCCTGACAAAAGGAAGGATTTTGAAAAGTTTGCACAAAATCGAATGATCTTTCCTCTTTCTATTTTGACTTTTTATGAGGGAGGTACCGGAAGGAGTGGCCCGATATTGCCATCTCTGAACTCGATGTAAGTTTGACAATAATATTACTATTAATCAAGTTTTTATCAAATCAGATATTCCCTTCGAGAGTTATCGTGGGCATCATCCAGACAGACAGGCGGACGGACACCCTTAGATCGACTCGAAATGTCCTCAAATGAATTTAGTCCAAAGAGACATAGGATCTAAAGCCATTATTTCGATTAGACACGTTTTGGCTGTATCAAATGAAGTATACCTTTTAGACTGTAGTCTCTAGTCTCTCTTTGGATGAAATCTGTTTCAGGACATTTGAAGTTAATCCTACCTTTGTCTGGTTGGCTTGCGTCTACAATAACTGTTAAAGGCAGTCTCCGATTTGGTCGAAACTTGGTACACGTCATTTTTTTTATCAAACTTAGATCAAGTTCAGATATCTGTTCACTTTTTCACAAAAATTCTTAATTACAAATTTGAAATTGATCGAAGAGAAATAACGTTACCTAAGGTGCTAAACTTGCCAAAACTGATTGGCTTTTTTAAATTTTAAAGTGATAAATTAACTGTCTTGCACATTTCGTTTTTTGTTTTTTTTTTTTTTAGAGTGTAAACATTTAATACATCAGTTTACCCATGCTGGTACAACTCTGACAAGACAGTTTTCGAAAAATTATATCTTTATCTCACAAAAGAAGAATCGAGAACCCTATATAGTTCAAAATTGGTCCAACATTGTATTTATATCAGATTTATAGTCAGACTTTGTCGGTAGAAAGACTGAAACTTTCTAACTCGTGGTATCAAATCAAATTTTGATCAGGGTTGACTATGGAATATATCGGCCTATACTTTCTGATATATCCCCCATAAAACGAGAATAATGTGCATAAAACGAGAATAATTATAATCTTATTTTATTCCAAACTTCAAAATTGCATACAATGGAATCAACAGCTGGAGACCATATGTATCTTTGGACCAAATCGAAAGACATTTAGAGTTATAATTGCAAGGAAACTTGAGTTGACCAAGAAAGAAAAGCGAAAAATATGAAAGTCGTGTATTAGCCTTTTGAAAGGAAATAATCAAAATTTTTACATATTTGAAAATATTTGAGTTAAGATTCCTGGAATCAATGTATTTTACGTATATAGTGTCTTTGGCAAAATAACTGGCCACAACGCGGAGAATAGAAGAATTAACCCTTAGTCGAGTCATTTGAGGGATCTTTTAGGTATTTTTCTTATAAAATGTTCAAAAACTTCATTCAAATGTAATCGTATCAGATCAGAAGCTCCAAACTTACCTAAAACCCGGAATCGGTAAAAATAAAATGAGACGTTTTTGCCAGTAAAATTGGCTAAAACACTATTTACCTAAAATGTTTGATTTTTGAATTCTGCAATTCTTAAAATTGGCATTGTATTGACCCATGCCATTTGCTGACGTCATTCATCTATCGGCAGTCTAACTGATCCGCAATCTAACCTATTTTATTCCAACTGCTAGAGAGGGTATGTATAATTTGACACGGCCAAAACGTGCCTCATCTAAATAACGGTTTAGACCCTAGGTCTCTTTGGACCAAATCCGTTTCAGGACATTTGGAGTCGATCTAGCGATGTCCGCCCTTCTGTAGGTCTGTCTGGCTGCCTGGTGCGCACGATAACTCTTGGTACATGGTAATATTATTAACAAAGTTAGATCGAGTTCGGATGTATGCAATATCGGTCCACTCTTTTTGTACCTCATGCACAAAAGGTCGAAATTTTCAAAAAAATATTTTACTGCACTGACAGAGAAAGATAATCCTATTTTGCTCAAACTTTGCAAATCCTAATATTTGCATGAGTGCTAGGTCAGGTGCGGAAACGATATCGGTAAATATCTAAATATCTATGAAGTTCATACAACGCGAAATTAACATCCACTTCCTTTCAGACTAGGAATATTTCGGTCTGCGGTAGATCTGTTATAAAGATGCTAGAGATCGGACCGTATCTTCTGGTACCTCTCCCACAACGGGTCAAAATTTTGAATAATTACATCCCTCATAAAATGTGAAATAAGCATCCAACTCTCTTAAAATTCCACACAGCCCAATATTTCTATTAACACAAGATATGGTGTAAAGATGATAGAAATTGTCCTACCCAATGTGGTACCTCCCCCCATTAACGATTACAATTTTAAATACTTTACTCTCTCATGACTATAACTCCTGATATATCTTAATATTTCCCTCAATAATATACCCGTCCCCCCCTTAATATACCCGTCTTAACACTTTCATAACAATATTCATTTACACAATTATCCACGTTTACAGTTAATTGTTTACTCGCAATTTTTGTGAACTACATTTGCTCGTTATAAAAACTATTGTTAATAGATTTTTTCGAGCATTGTTTTTCGTCTTAAAATGTTATCAATTTAATATGACCTCAAACCGCAGAGAATTTTCTCTCCACCTTCGGTGGTTTTTGTTTGTGCGAACGAATGAAAGAAAGAAATTAACATGAAATGGAATAAAATGCAAATCATTGCTACAGGAAAAATGTTTTTCATGCTCTAGAAACCGAATATGTACATTGCAGCTGTTGTCCTGTAACCGCATGCCGCACCCCCACACCTTACATCCGAATAGTACACATCCCCTTTACCT